ACGAAAGTAAATGACACGTCCGAACGTGATAATCATGGTATGCGTGTCATGGAAAACATGACTAGATGCTACGCTCATAGCCCGCTTGCGACCGTTTCACTAGCTTCACATATACCGAATTTGGTATTACATGACGTGAATGGACGACGAAGGTAAATGACACGTCAAACCGTGACAATCATGACGTGCTTGTCATGTAAAATATGACTACATGCTACGCTCATAGCCCGCTCGCGGTCGTTTTGCTAGCTCTACGTATACCTAGTTTGGTATTACGTGACGTCAACAGACGACGAAGGTAAGCGACACGTCGAAACATTATAATCATGACATGCGTGTCATGTAAAACATGAGCATACATACTACGCTCATAGCCCGCTCGCGGCCGTTTCGCTAGCTCCACGCATACCAAATTTGGTACCACGTGACGTGATAGATGACGAAGGGAAATAACACGTATAAACATGTTAATCATGACATGGAAGTCATGTACGGCATAATTTACGTCCGCCTCGTAACGTTGTGTTGATTTTAAAGTGACATATCAACCTTCCTCATTCGTGCTTCACATATCATCGATTCCCACTGTACGTGGGATGTGCCTTTTTAGATGCGGAAGCATCTTATACTCGCGCCTTGTAGTGCGCCGTCCGCACCGCTTCTCGAACATTCGACAGCTGACGCGCGCGCATGCGCCGTCGCGCCGTCGCCCACTCTTCCACCATCTGTGCATCCCTTCCTCCTCTACACACCGCGCGCGCTTCACTCCTCCACCATCTGTGCACCCTTCCTCCTCTACACACCGCGTTCGACATCTACAATTCTCCTGATTCTCCAGTGGACGCGCATGTGGCGTCGCGCTTCGAGAACATTCAACAGCTGACAGTGCATGCGCCGTCGTGCTGTATATATACTCAAGGTCGGCGCTCGCTCGCTCAGTTGCCGCTCGTCGGTTGGTTTGTACGGCGCGTCGACGTCCAAGGTCGCGGTGAAATGAATTCCAACGAATCCACAAACACAATGATCGACGTCCCTTCTACCAGCGCCGCCCTTTCGCATACGTGTGTACGTGTTCACTCATTTAACACCCCCTCCTACAACCACGTTAACCAATTTAGCCATCGACCCAAGTAAGTCGCAATTTAACACCCCATTTCACAACCACGTTAACCAATTTAGCCATCGACCCAAGTAAGTCGCACTTTAACACCCCGTTAACCAATTATATGCTCCGCATCCTCCTCAGTGTTCCCCCGAGGGAAGCTGCGGGCAATTTTTTTTCACATAATTTTCAGCTACTTCATTGCAGTAAAAGTAAAATGACTAATCATTTCTCATTAGAAAATTGACCGGAAATAAAAAAAATAGAAGTACTCCATACGATAGTAAGCAAAATGAATCTTGGTCGTATCGTCATAGAGTGCGACGGTCTATTTCGCAATACTGCCTAAAGAATAGTGAATAATGTGGCCAAGTGCAGGCGCAGCACTGAAAGCACGGCAGGAGTGCAGTCCGAATCGCGACAAGCTCAGGTGGAACGATAACTTTCTTAAATACACGATTGCATTAACGGTGCACGCTAACAAGTGTGGGCGATATTCGTGCCCATGACGACAATTTTGTAGATCCTTACGTCGATGCCTATTTAATTTAAATCCCTTGCACTACGTGTTTGCGCTACAGTCTCACATTTTCGTAAACATGAGACCAACGTGCGGATACAATACAAATCCTCCTGCTCCATCGTATGCCACCTCCAGTGCATATTAAGCGTGACTGAAACGAGAACGAGCAAACAATGACGCCGATAGTATAATGCACTGCATATAGAACTAACGCGCGGCGAATATGCCACTATAGCATAGAATAACAATTATACACACTATATATAATATATATATATATATATATATATATATATATATATATATATATATATATAAATATATATATATATATAAGGGAAAGAAGTGTATACCTAAGGGCTCGTTTTTCCGTGTTTTAACACAATATTAATGAGCTCTAACAGACAGTAATGCCAAGGAATGTACAGGGGAAGTTATTAGAACCAATGGAATGTAAATAAGAAAGAAAAGTGGATGAAAAAATAATCAGCCGTGAGCAGGAATCGAATTTACGACCTTCGAATAACGCGTTCGATGCTTTAACCACTGAGCTACCACAGCAGCCTTCCCTCCATCCACTTTTTTGGGTTTATATGTGAATTTAGAAGTAGGAGTGACAGAAGTAGGAGTGACAGTTTATTTTTTCATCCACTTTTCTTTCTTCTTATTTACATTCCATTGGTTCTAATAACTTCTCCTGTACATTCCTTGGTATTACTGTCTGTTATATCTCCTTAATATTGCGTTAAAACACGAAAAAACGAGCCCTTAGGTATGCACTTCTTTCCCTTATATATATATATATATATATATATATATATATATATATATATATATATAAGATTTTTAAAAATAAAATCCCACTCAACACCGAATCTCATCCCAGGGTGAGGGCGTGATCGTCACGAGAGGAACACGCGAACAGAGAGCCATGTCACCAAAGGAACTCGAGGGTGAAGAGAGGGGAAGGCACACTCGCATACTGCCAGCGCAGGCACGGGTGCACGCCCGGCGCAAGGAACCGGGGCTACCATGCACAGGGCCGGACAGAGGGGAGAAAGGAGGGGGGGGGGGGGGGGGGGGGGGGGGAGCGCCGCAATCAGGCCGGCTGAGCATTAATGAAGCCGGGAGGAGCAGCCCGTGATGGACGGCCGCTAAGGGCAGGCGCGTGTTTGCCCACGGACGTGTGTGTGCCAGCGCATGCAGATGCCTCACGGCCCGCAAATTAAGCGGCCGAACAGAGGGGCCCAGCGCATTCGCCGCTGGCCTGGCTGCCCTCCTACATATGGATGCGCTGATTAAGACACCACGGCCTCCCGCGACCCCTCACCTCTCAAGATAAACACCCCGCCCAGAAGTAGACTGGCCCGCCGGACGTTCGATAGCCATGTCCACCAGAACTCACAGCACTGCCGCCAGGCGAGCGAGCACCGCTACGCACTTTAGTCATTCAAACTTTTTCTTTCCCGTACAAAGTTGCAGGGCCTCTCAAGACGGACGAGCTAGCCTAAAGTGCCATTCGCGCAAGGAGCAGTGTCTTCGATAACGCAAGACGGACACTTTTTCGTTTGCCACGACTCTTGCTTGTCGCAGGCCTCGCAACGCGGGGAACGCACAAAGCGAGCGCACTGAAGCACGCGAGAAGGCTACCCCGGCCGGAGCGATATTCACCGAAAAGAAGAAGCCTTCTCAGGCAGAAATAAACGCTGATTGTACCTCCTGCACACCGACTCCTTCGACGACTCCCGACGAACTACGGTCATACCTATAGAGGTGCCGCTAAATGCAGAACGCTGTAACGAATGTACTCCACGTTATTCGTGGTTAATGTAAAACAATGGGCATACAGCGCAAACCATTCGTCAATTACTTTCCATAAGTTGAGCAACAAATATAACTTAGAAGAGTGAAACTTTGGGCTAGTTGGTATTGCATGATGAAGAACGTACAGCGCGAACACAAGACGGGAATACTAAAGAAGGGACACAGACAAGCGCTGACTAGCAACTGAATTTTTATTAACACAGAAGCGGAAAATATATACGGAAAAAACAACAGAAACAAGAAAACTGAAAAAATTTACAGCATGACAAAGATTCTTCCATGTTATTGTTACATGCGCTCTTCTAGAAAAGATAATTCTTTGGCCGATAACCCGATGGAAGCCATGCTGATGCATCGCGACCCTTCTTTTGCGATATGAGCGGCTTCAATGATTTCACGAGTACGCATGTCCTGATGTCTGCCGATGATTGTTGTTTCTTCAAACAGGGGTGTGCAACCACAGGAACTGCAATGAATGGCCAAAAAACCTTCTTTGGCGTTGCGCACATTATTTTTGTGCTCTCGGAGGCGGTCATTTAGACACCTTCCAGTTTGGCCTATATAGCAACACCCGCATGAAAGTGGAATGCGATAAATGACATTATGTGAACAATCTAGAAATTTCTTACGATGCTTGGTAGTGCACTGGCGTTTCCTTTTTTTGACAGGACAGGTGACACGTGAAAGATATGACAATTTGTGAGGTGCTGAAAAAACCACTCGAACGCCGCACTGTTGCCCTATTTTCCTGAGACGATGTGAAATATTATGCATGTATGGTATGACCGAAATCTTCTTGCCTCGACCGGTTTCCATGCTTGCCTGCTGAACATTACGGTCATACCATACATGCATAATATTTCACATCGTCTCAGGAAAATAGGGCAACAGTGCGGCGTTCGAGTGGTTTTTTCAGCACCTCACAAATTGTCATATCTTTCACGTGTCACCTGTCCTGTCAAAAAAAGGAAACGCCAGTGCACTACCAAGCATCGTAAGAAATTTCTAGATTGTTCACATAATGTCATTTATCGCATTCCACTTTCATGCGGGTGTTGCTATATAGGCCAAACTGGAAGGTGTCTAAATGACCGCCTCCGAGAGCACAAAAATAATGTGCGCAACGCCAAAGAAGGTTTTTTGGCCATTCATTGCAGTTCCTGTGGTTGCACACCCCTGTTTGAAGAAACAACAATCATCGGCAGACATCAGGACATGCGTACTCGTGAAATCATTGAAGCCGCTCATATCGCAAAAGAAGGGTCGCGATGCATCAGCATGGCTTCCATCGGGTTATCGGCCAAAGAATTATCTTTTCTAGAAGAGCGCATGTAACAATAACATGGAAGAATCTTTGTCATGCTGTAAATTTTTTCAGTTTTCTTGTTTCTGTTGTTTTTTTCCGTATATATTTTCCGCTTCTGTGTTAATAAAAATTCAGTTGCTAGTCAGCGCTTGTCTGTGTCCCTTCTTTAGTATTCCCGTCTTGTGTTCGCGCTGTACGTTCTTCATCATGCAATACCAACTAGCCCAAAGTTTCACTCTTCTAAGTTATATTTCTAGTTCCTCGGGCTTCTTGACTCCTACTGCTGTGCATTCCTCTTTGCTCATTACCCTCATCTCCGTCGCCCTGTGCCGCGCCCGCATCTTATCATTCTGCATTCGAAAAAAACAGCTCCCTCCGGAAGTAAAAAGCTTGTTTGGTGGCTTCAGCCCTTCGGACCACCATGGCGTTAGGATGTGCAAAATCCTAAGGTCCGAATGGCAAGGCAAGCACGACTCCACCGGGACACCCTGAATCTACAACTTCACCACAACGAAAGGCTACCAGCTGGCAGGAGAAAAAGGTGGCGAGAATATAACAATCTTATAGACTCCACTGTCGAACATATGTGGCAATGTGCTCTGAGGCAACTACGGATTGTGCAGCCAACTAGACCGCGTCAGGAAGGCGTCGTCCACGTCGCTGATGACGTCCAGCTTTCAGAACAAGTGCGCCGCACCCTGGGGCTGGGCCCAAAGTTTGCAGTGGAACAGAGAAAGACTCCCGCGGAGCTGCTATCTGTGGTTCGACAGGTCTCAAGCCTCGCACCGACGAATGAGTGCGACAGGTGCGTTTCCGAGGGCGTTGACGTTCTGATGCATGGTAAGCCCACAAGCCACAACTTGCCTCTAAGAAAGTCTCCACGTTCTTGCTCCGGAATGAACTGTGTGTCGTACCAGCAGATAAAGAGGGAGGTTTTGCTGTACTACCAAATGATGTGTACCTTCAAAAAGCGCATGACGCTGTTCTCTCTGTGTTTAAACGGTGCCCTGATGTATCCCTAGCAAAAGTTAAGGAAAAAGCCATCTTACTTTGCTCGCAACTAGATCTAAAAAAGCTGGCACTAACGATAGGTAATGTCAGAATTTAGCCCTAGATATGTTTTTTCATGCAAAACCCACAAAGAAGACTCACCTTTTCGCGTAATAATTTCAGAAAAAGGAACGTGGCAGAAAGCACTAGCGAGTTTCATTCAACAAAATTTGAAGCTGCTCAAAATTGATGATCCTTTCCTCATCCGTAATTCGCAAGAGGTCATAAGCTTCATCAACCAAAACCCGAACGAACAGCTCACCGCCTTTTCAATCGATGTGAAAGACTTGTATTATTCTCTGCCATCCAAAGAACTAATTTCATGTATCGAAGAATGCATCGATGAATTTGGATCCGTAGCATTCCAGAACACGACTTGTATTAGTGGCGGTGCTTTCCTTGACCTTGTCTCGTTTTACCTTAAATCTACCTATGTTGAATGGAACAATGAAATTTTTCTTCAAAAGAATGGTGTGTCTATAGGCTCATGCATTGCCCCACTGTTGAGTGACCTCTATCTAGCAAAGTTAGACAGAGCTCTTAACGCACGGCTCAATGGTAGCAGTGTTCTGAAAACCTTCCGTTTTGTAGATGATTATCTTGTGATTCTTAAGCGCAATGCAGATAACTTTCAAGTTGCAACAAGTCACCTCATATCATTATTTAAAGAGTGCCTGTCGCCTCTGTGTATCACACATGAAATGCCAGAAGACAACAGCATTCGTTTTTTAGATCTCAGACTAACATTTGCCAATCAACATTCATGTTGGATGTACGAACCACGAGCACAAAAACCGTTGTTGCCGTACACATCGTCACACACTAAGTTAGTCAAGCGAAGCATTGTTCAAACATGTCTTTCCAACGCATTAGATAAATCATGTCACCACGTTGTCACTAGAAGTTTCTTGGCGCAGATTCGTCGGCTTGAAGCAGCAGGTTATCCACATAAGCTGCTCACATCGGTAGCGGAATTTACAGAAAAAAGAAGAAAAGCTGCCAGGAAAATGTTCAGCAGGCAAGCATGGAAACCGGTCGAGGCAAGAAGATTTCGGTCATACCATACATGCATAATATTTCACATCGTCTCAGGAAAATAGGGCAACAGTGCGGCGTTCGAGTGGTTTTTTCAGCACCTCACAAATTGTCATATCTTTCACGTGTCACCTGTCCTGTCAAAAAAAGGAAACGCCAGTGCACTACCAAGCATCGTAAGAAATTTCTAGATTGTTCACATAATGTCATTTATCGCATTCCACTTTCATGCGGGTGTTGCTATATAGGCCAAACTGGAAGGTGTCTAAATGACCGCCTCCGAGAGCACAAAAATAATGTGCGCAACGCCAAAGAAGGTTTTTTGGCCATTCATTGCAGTTCCTGTGGTTGCACACCCCTGTTTGAAGAAACAACAATCATCGGCAGACATCAGGACATGCGTACTCGTGAAATCATTGAAGCCGCTCATATCGCAAAAGAAGGGTCGCGATGCATCAGCATGGCTTCCATCGGGTTATCGGCCAAAGAATTATCTTTTCTAGAAGAGCGCATGTAACAATAACATGGAAGAATCTTTGTCATGCTGTAAATTTTTTCAGTTTTCTTGTTTCTGTTGTTTTTTCCGTATATATTTTCCGCTTCTGTGTTAATAAAAATTCAGTTGCTAGTCAGCGCTTGTCTGTGTCCCTTCTTTAGTATTCCCGTCTTGTGTTCGCGCTGTACGTTCTTCATTGAGCAACAAGCCCCGCCGCGGTGGTCTAGTGGCTAAGGCACTCGGCTGCTGACCCGCAGGTCGTGGGTTCGAATCCCGGCTGCGGCGGCTGCATTTCCGATGGAGGCGGAAATGTTGTAGGCCCGTGTGCTCAGATTTGGGTGCACGTTAAAGAACCCCAGGTGGTCGAAATTTCCGGAGCCCTCCACTACGGCGTCTCTCATAATCATATAGTGGTTTTGGGATATCAATCAATCAAGTTGAGCAACAAACAAAATACACCCACACGTGACCTTATAAGACACGCTTCGGCTAAGCTCACCCAAAGCGTCAATGCTCGTCAGCTTTCCATTTCCTCGTTGTTCTCGGGCACCTTCGTCAGTCTCGTTATACTTCGGATGAATTGTTGCAGTTGGCTAATGCCAAATCTCTACAAGTCTCACACGTTTAGAAGTCTTCAGATGTGCGTCAAGAGCAGCGAATCACACAACTCGTCACTCGTTCGTTCGTGCGTATGTTTCTTTGTAGTGCACAAAGCCAACGGTCTAACCGAACACGAACGGGAAAGATGACACAAATCAATTGGACAAAGACAAGGTGCTAATGCGCGAGAATCCCTCGGCCAGCTTTTTATTCGGTATACCAAGCTGAGGCTATGTTAAATACATGCCACATTTCCACGTACGACGAACACTAAAACTGTGCTCTATTCATCACCCACTTCCCACACTCCCACCTCTACCTATTAAGACCATTTTTTTAAAAGCACACACATTGTACCCTTTTGTGTAATTTTCCATTTCCCACTAAAACACGTACTCCTGATTGTGTGTTTGCTACCGTGTCTGTGCGTTTTGTGCGGAAGACGGGACGAGAAAATAAGCGCTCAGGCATGACAAGCCACCCGCCTTTACCGTCACACGTTCCCTATCGCCATGCGGCGAAATGCATCGCTACTCACCGACTTCACGTTTGGGTTCAATCCGTAGGAGCCGGCCACGAGCTTTACTATTTCGGCACTTCCGAATTTGGCGGCCCAGTGAAGTGCAGTCTGAAAGGAAAGGGAAATAAGTTAAAAATGACTAAACATTACAAGTGCACGTGTGGTTCATGTTGAGGAGCGCGAGGGATACATAACACAATTCCATTATTGCAACAACGAATAGGCGAACTTCTGCAAGCGTCCCCCCTCCCCCGCTCCCTCGCAGACACACACCGCGAACCGTGTCCTAGAAGTTGAAAATAACGAAGGCGCGCGGCGGTGGTACCATATATAATAGCCACTAATTGATACTACATCATCTCTGCTTGCAAGAATAAACCTGGCTCAATAGTGCTATCAACGGAATGTCCATTGTCTCGCGAACGGCGACCTATACGCGTGAAACGATCAGTTCTGGTATTCATCGTATACACCCTATTCGGCTCTGTATTGTGCACCCTATTCGGCTATGGACACCGTATTGTGTACTCTAGTTGGATCCACAATACGCGGTACGCACCAGGTCGTGAACATTTACTGAATTCATTTGACTTCGAATCGGTGACAAACTACACCTTGAATGAGGTCCGCTGACGAACGTATTGAATGATGCTTATCAGCGGGGATATCGTACAAAAAAAACGTAAATTAAGTTTTGGCATTTTGAGAACGAAAACAATATGGTTTTGAGGCACTCCGAAGAGGTGAGAGATTACAGATGAATTCCGATCTCCTGCGGTTCTTTAACCCAAATCTAAGTACACGGGTGCTTTTGCATTAGCTGCATCGAAATTCGGCAGTCATGGCCGAGAATCAAACCCACGGTCATGAGATTAACCAGAAAAAAACTCGTGGAAGTCAACATAGTTAAGCAACTTGGACTTAAAGCGAAACACACACACACACACACACACACACACACACACACACACACACACACACAGTTCTAGAAAAAATATGGAAAAATGATGCCCATTGTGCTGATTTTGGTCGCATAACTATCTAGCGTGCTCGCAATCGTATAGCGTCCAGTATGACTGTTTCATAGATGTGATCATCGCCATGCGTGTGACGGCCTGCACTGTCACTCATATAACGTGGAATCTCGCATGCAGTGCTTGAGCGTCACACCATTCACGTGGTTTATGTGAATGTAAACTGTGAGAGACGGCGAGTTCGCGAAAACAATGTTTATACTTGTCGAGAAAAGCATCAAACAAATAGACGTGTATATGTGGAAAAGCGAAACGCTTAAAACAGCAGTGCGGCTACGTATCTATCTTTTTTGTTTTTTTTCGAATCTAGCGCACGCGATTACCGATGTGACATGATCCACGCGACTATTCGGTACGACAGTGTACTTTTTCTTCACAAACGAAACCAAGACGACTCAATTCAGGAAAGGCTAAGAAAGCCTCGCTTTATTGCACTATTTCTGCGATTCTAACACGTATTTTTTTCCCTTTAGATGTAGATCTAAAATGTGTGCGCGCTTAAAACCGGGCAAAAACGGCATCAACTTATTTTTTCGACTTGTCCTAACGTAACACTACCAGCGCGTCATTATCGGACGCGCTATAGTATCGTGCAAATACGACAAATAATGATCTTGTACAAACTACGCGGACAGCCCGTTTTCCGATTTCGTAGAGAGGGATTACAGATTGCACATGACGGGCACAGGAGCCCGAAAGGAAAACACCATGTCCCGTAGCACATCAATGGTTGTAGTTCACCTGGCAGAGCACAAGGTATCCTTTCCTCGCGCGAGAACATCGTGCATATACCGTTGCTCGTCGTGTCAGCGTCGTGTGCAACGCCCACACGATGCGAGCGGCGGCGCGACGCATCTGTCACAGGCGAGCACGATCTGCACGAGGCGCAGGGCCGCATTACAATGTACAACCCCTTTGCTCCGCATATATGTCGACACTGATTACTATATAGCGAGAGGGTTTGCAGGTATACGTCGCTAATATTTCGCAAAACTGCTTCAGACAATAGTCACTGACCCCATTACACTCGCACGAAGAAACTGCGGCAAACGACGAAAAATAAATGAAAGTGCGGCTAGATGTGGGTATGCCGACGGCAAAGTTAATAGCCCGGCGAAAGAACCCGACTTCACTATTTCAGTGTTAGCAAGCACGCTTTTGAATCTGTGCAAGAGCATCTGCAAATAAGTCATTAGTCGCATTACTAACACAGCAGACAGCCCACTCGTGAAAATGAAATTCACCGAAAAAAAAGAGAGAGATTGGGTGTATAGCGCACACGGCGGATATTCATAAATCGTGACAGGGAATCGACTGGTCTCACAAAAGCGAAATGTGCACAATCTTGACTATTGCAGTATACTATATAACGCTTGGGGCTAAAACTTGAAAAATGAAACACGAAAAATGTTGACCACGCGAAGCGCCACGGAACGGAGACGTTAGGCGTAACACTAAGAGAATGAATGGATCACAGAACAAGGGTAACCGACATGTTATGCGGCGAAAATGACAGAAGAATCCACGCCTGATCTCCACTGACTGTTTATGCGACGCGCTGAGCGTATACAGTTTTGCCGCAGGACAGTGTATATATAGCCGCGGCCTTCTTTGACACTTTCTTTTCGGGTGGCATCGCCACGGCGTTTCATCTCAGCGTTCGTCAGTGTCTCGAACGCGCCTCGCATCAAATTTTCGCAGTCGCAATTTCCCTGATTTATGCAAAGGTCGATGTAGGCTTAAAGCATGCACTGTCCCACAGTCATTTTCTAGGTCGTGTCGAACATTCGCTCCGCCATACTGAGATCCTACGGAAATTTCGCCAGATGTACTGACCAATGACAACGATGACAAAGACGACGACAACGAGAGAGAACAGCGAAGACGATTACGGTGGCGTGAGAGCACATGGTTTACTGACGTCCAAGACAACCAACAGCCGTGCTCGCAAGAAGAACGCTGTGAATAACCACTGCATCTTGCACAGCAATGCCACGTTAAATACGTAAAGGCACCACTGAAACTGTCACCGGACGACGGTTATATTCTAGTCGAATATTCATATATATATATATATATATATATATATATATATATATAGAGAGAGAGAGAGAGAGAGAGAGAGAGAGAGAATTTTAGGGGCGAAGCTCCTTATAGCGGCACCCGTTCGTTCCTCGTAGCCGTTGTAGTATGTAACAAGTATAACATTTTAACCTCCAAGGTGGTACCGGTGAGAGATTTCTTCTGTGCGTAGTTGAACAATAAAAAATAGTGCTCAATGTACATGCCAATAGCTGCTAATGGGGAACGAGAGACAGGAGCATTCGGCTTTTAGTCAACACGAACGCTGCGATCCCCATTAGCGGCCATTGGCATGTACATTGAGCACTATCTGACAAGAAAGGGTTGCTACGTTATACTCGCTGGGTGTAACCTCCTTAGTTTTAGAAAGGTTTAGTGAGCGTTGAGCCGCAGTGCCATGAATACAATGAACTAGTACATACCATGCATGAACTCGAGGTGGTTAAAGGTGGGAAGTAGATACGAAGCGCAAGCCGTAAGAAAGTAAAAGCCGAATTCTCCTGTCTCTCATTCCCCTTTAGCAGCCATTGGCATGTACATTGAGCACTATCTGACAAGAAAGGGTTGCTACGTTATACTCGCTGGGCGTAACCTCCTTGGTTTTAGAAAGGTTTAGCGAGCGTTGGGCCGCCGTGCCATGAATACCATGAACTCGAGGTGGTTGAAGGTGGGAAGTAGACCCGAAGCGCAAGCCGTAAGAAAGTGTGGGTGTGCCACCTCTCGTTTAGTCCTTGGAATGTCCGCTGGATGGCGGTGCTTCTATGTGGGCAATATATGATGAAAATATGCGAGATGGTGGTACTTGGAGTGTTGAATAGATGGTCGAACGGACACACAGACAGATGCATGGCTGGACGCATGAACGGACGCAGGGGCGGATGCATGGACGAACGCAGGGACGGACGCACGAACAGACGCACGAACAGACGCACGCACGGACGGGCGGATGGACGCATGAACGGTCACACAGACGGACGCATGGACGGATGGAAGCAAGAACGAATGGACGGACGAATGCTTCGCCCCACTTTCCATCTTTCACTCCGTGGATATGCTGCCAATTTTTTTATTTACTACAACGTTAAGAAACTGAGAACTTTTACAGTACGTGGAGACTTTATCGATAAACCAAAGTTCAGTGTTGGCTGTAACGTGTTACTCTTTTTTTCAGTAATTTCGTAACGTACCGGTTAGCATTTCGTAACTGTCACGGGTAACATACAGTTGCGTTCAATATGACTTTTAAAACGACAGCAGGTGGTCTTTCGAACTAAAAAGATTCCGCATGATTTCAACTTGACCTCACTTTCACAGTCAAATATTTTCTTACTGGGTATTCGAAGCCGTGCGCAACGTTTGAGCTCGAAAGGCCATGTGCTCCCATGTTGCAATTAAGCCCTATTGAGTGCGACTGTACTTACATTAACATTTTTTGGTAACGTGAGGTGTCGCGTGGCTTCTTATTTATTATTTATTCAAATTATCTCGTTAGTTTCACACCGAGCTCTTTCTGCTCGTGTGCGCCGCATTTCGAGAGCTATCCTTTAGCCGCAGCGGCAGACCATTATTGGACTGCAAGGCATAGGCAATAGGAATATAATCTAATACGTCCACATCCATCAACCACTTAACTACTACTTACCGCAGGTGAAGACGTATTCAATAATAGACGAGGCAAGCTGTCCGACGACAGCTTTGAATGAGCTGTTTGCTTGAATTCTTCACGTGGTAGTTGTCAGCAATTTGTCCCTATAACACTAAAGCGCTGCTTATCAGTTGTTTTCACAATAAAACTTGCTTCTATCTGCTTCTAGCTGCGGGTACACATTTCTGGTTATTGAAATGCTCAGCATGCGAGACTGACCTAGAACGCTTCCTCATAAACAATCGAAAAACTACGCGGCGATTATATAGATTAAAAGGTAATAATGCTGCACACACTTTTTCGCGGGTCCATGCAATTTAATAATTTTTTTTTAAATTTCTACCAGA